TTTTTTTTTTTTTTTTTTTTTTTTTTTTTTTTTTTTTTTTTTTTTTTTTTTTGTATTTTATACAAAAAAAATATATTTTTATTTTATTTCATTTTTTGTTTCCCTATTTAATGTATTTTTTTTCTAAATTTTAAATATGAATATTTTACTGTAGAAGAATATAAATTTTTACTCTCCAAAAAAAATTCAAAATAATTTTTTGTTCTTATTCTATTTAAAGAAATTTTTTTCTACATAATTTAAAAAATTTACATTTAAAAATTTTCTTTTAGTTTAAAAATATTATTTAATGAATTTAATAATTATAATTTAAAGAATTCATTTTTTTTTTTTTTTTTTTTCTTATTTCTGTAAATTTTTTACATTTACTTCTTCGTAGTAGAATTTCAAAAAACAAAATATATCTTTTAAAATAAACTGTATATAAAAATATATATTTTTGACAATTTTTATTTTAAAGGTTTGAATAGAATTTTAATTGTATTAAAATTTAATGCTTTAAATAAATATAAATAATTACAAAAGGCACTCCAAGTTATCACTGAAGAATTAACATGTATTTTTTTAAATTTCTTCTATAAAATGCTTTTTTTAAGTAATGTATTTTTTCGTTCAAAAAGTAAAAGAGTTCACATAAATTTAATATCATCATGTGCAAGCAATTATATTTATTCAACATATATCTCTCCTAATAAATCAAAATTTAGATTATCATTAAGAAAGCATGATCCAGTAGTTAACCGACATGTGTTAGCCCAATTAATGAAAACTTCTAATTAATTTTATTATAATAATAATTATTACAATATATATTATATATTTTTTTTTATTGTTTGAAATATTTAATTATTATATATAATTTTATCTATGTAATTTTTTTGTAGGATGTTTTATCAAAAACACATGAAATCAAAATCAAAAAAAAAATTATCATTGCATGGAATTAATTATGCTCGTTTTACAGGTTATTCTATTTATATATATATATATATATTTTTTTTTTTCGTGTTTATATAAAAATAAATTAATTTTATATAAAATATTGAATAATATTCTTTTTTTAATATTTAAGGGAAAAATAAAAACTTAAGACCTCTTTTAAAAAGAGTTGAAAAAGCCTATCTCTATGGAAAATTTAACAAATTAGTAGACAATACATATAGGTAATTAAAAAAAAGCAAAATTAGCATATATATATATTCTTTTTAGAATAAAAAAGCATATTAAGAAAATATATTATACTTTTTATTTTTAATATACAGAAATTATAATCTATAATTTTTTCACCTTTTTTTATCTGTATTTATATTCAGGAGTTTACCAAGAATGAGCTAAAGAAATTTTTAAAAAAATAAAATTTTTTTCTAAAAAAAGACTTCGATTTTACACATCTATATACCTTATTAATATTAAAATTTTAAGACAATTAAAATAATTAAATAAAAAAAATCATTATATTAATAAGATTTTTCTTATATCAAATTTTTTTTTTTTTTTTTTTTTTAAATTGTAAAAAACTAAAAAGATTTAAGATTATGATATAATAATAAAATAAATAAAGCAATTTTCTTATTAATATTAATAAAAATATATTCTAATTTAACAATTTTTGTAGTTTTATAAACCTTAATTTTTTTTTTTTTTCTTTAAATTTAAATTATAAAAAAATTAAAAAAAAAAAAAAAAATTTACGTATTCATTTTATTTTTTTCTCAGTAAATTTTTTTATTAAAAGTAATATATTTTCAAAAACCAATGATGGAAAAGTTAAAATTAAACTTTCATTTTATATTTTAATAATTATCATCTTTTATATTTTAAAAATGTTTTTGTATTATTCGTAACAAATAATAATTAAATTAAAAATTTTAACTTATAAACACTGAAATGTGATATGAAGAGTGTAGTTTTATTAAAAGAAATTACTTTCTTAAAAAGTTTCTCTTTAAATAATAAAATACAAAATGACTTACGTAAATTTTTTTATAACAAAAACTTTAATAAGAAAAATCTGCATACAAAAATAACTTTTAGATGGAATGAAATTAATTTATCAAAAAAAGATTATAATAAAATTTTTGGAGTAATAAATGCTTATTGCAAAAATATTTATAATGATAAACCTAATTTTTCATATTTTAGTTACTTAAGTAGTACTGAAAAAAATGTATATGATGAAAAAGAAAAATATAATGACAACAAAGATACTAAAACGAGTAATAAATCTAAGTATAATACCACATACGAAAAATCTATAAAAAATGTTGAAGAAAATGTTAACATTCAAAATAATAAAAATATAGATACATATGAACATAATGCATTACATGTAAACAATATATGTAAAAAAATATATTATATGAGTAAGAATAACATTAAAAATGAAAAAGAGTGGAATCATTATCTGTTAGAATTTTATAAAGAAACTGAAAATTATAAATACTTAAAAATAAAAAGCATTTTTATGCTTTTACTAGGGTTAACTAAAAGTAAAGAACATATAAAAGAGATATTTATAATTAAGGATGCTGAAAAAAATAAAAAAATACACATTATTGATATTGTTAATAATCATATAAGTATTTTATCAAAAAAATTTGATGAAATGACAAATAATCAATTAAGTATATTTTTATATATTATTCAAAAATGGAATAAAATTGAGGAGTATAAAGAAATTATTAACAGGATTAATGATAAATTATTAAAAAAAATTAGCTTAAAAAAATTAAATATAAGAAGTTTTTCTAACATCCTACACATATATTCAAAAAATTATGAAAATTTTCACGATATTTATAGTAATAATATGCAGAATAAACAAAAATGTATAATTACGAATGACATACTAATAAGATATATTAACAAAATTTCTAAAGAGAAATTTCACATGGAAGATATTCTGTTAATTCTATCATCAATGTATAAATTAAAAATAAAAAATAATAATATTTTTCAAAGTGTAATACAAATTTTAAATGTAAATATAAAAGATGACAATTACTTTTTAATTCCATCTTTATTATTATCATTAGCTAACTTAAACATTTATAATGAAGAATTGTATTTAAAATTAAAAAACATTATAATGCAAAATTATTATTTTTATAATTCAGTACATCTGACAAACATATATTATTCTTTTTCTAAATTTAAACCAAATTATGTAGAAGAACTTTTTGATAAATTATCAATTCATATTATACAAAACTTTGTAAAAAAAAAAGGAAAAGAAAATATGAAAATTCCTAAAGAGACAATAAATGAACCTGTTAGTACAAATTTATTAAAAAGACCATTAATAAGTGATAGACAAATTAATAATCAAAAATTTAATATTTTTCAAATAACAAATATTTTAAACTCCTGCATAAAATGCAATTATTTAAATTATGATTTTTTTTTGCATTTAATTTTAGATGTAGAAAAAATAAATGAGAAACAATCATTAGATAATATCATTAATTATTTTTATGTTATATCAGAAATTTTAAGAACTTTTCATATATGCAGTTTTAAATATAAGTTATATTTACATAATGAAACAAAACAATATGAAAGTATAGATGAAAATCAATTTAACAAAATTAACAATAAAGAGGAAAAAAAAAAAAAATTAAATAATAATTATAATAATGACAATAAATATAACACATTATATATATTAAACAAAGAATGGAAACATAATGAAATATATTGGTATAATACTAGTTACAATTTATATAACAATAATTTTTTTTTTGTAGAATTCAAGAATGTGAATATTAAAAAAAATAACTTGCAAAATAAATTTGAATTGTATTGGGATGATATAAGTAAAAAAATTATAAAAATAATTGAAAAAAAATTATATGACAAAAATATTAAATATGTTCTCCACAATTTAATGTTATGCTTATCTTTAAGTGAAATAAAACTGTTAAATCTATATATATTATGCTTAGTTATTATTAGAGAAAATTTTGAATTTTTCAGTATAAGTAATTTATATTTATACTTAAAAATACTGCATAAATTTAGAATTTACAACTATGAAATTTTTCATTTAATATTTAATCATATAAAAAAATATATGCATCTAGTGGAATTAAGGAAACAAATTAAAATCATTTTATTATATTTTAATATTTTTAAAAAAGCAGATAAGCACGAAATGGAACTAATTTCTAAGTATTTTTTAAATTTAAATGAAAATTCTAAAATAAAAAACGAAAAAGAATCCTTTTTAAAAAATGATGAATTTAAACAAAATATGTGGAAACTTCCCACAGATATAAAAATGAAACAAAATTTTATAAACTTAGACAACCTTGAAAATTCTTCTTTTCACAATAACAAAAGTAACAATTTAAATAATATTAATACTAACGATAATATAAATCTAAATAATGGTATTAAAAGTAATAACAATAGTTTAAATAAATATAATTATACTATAGATAATTTAAATTTTACTAATGATATTAAAAATAATAGCAATAATTTATATAATGATACACTCTTTAATTCATCTTATGCATTTGATGAAAATAAAAATGAAGATTTAAACTTAATAAACGATAATTTTTTTTTTAAAAAAATAGAAAAAACAGAAATTTTTCCTTCTAATTTGAATTTCTGTAATTATCTAAACATTTTATTAATTTTAATTTTAAACTTTAAAAATATATATGAAAATATAAAATTAAATACACTTATTTCGAAGGATGATAATTTAATAAAAATTAAAGAGGGAGATAATATTTTAGAAAAATATACTGAAATGTTAAAAGAAAACTTAATTAATGCAAAATTTTCTATTATTCAATTTTTCACAAAATTTACAGATTATTTAGAAAAAGAAAAAAATGAATTATATAACTATCAAACAATGTATATTTTGGATTTCCTAAAAACTATAAATGAAAATATTTACATGGATTTAATAAAAATAGAAAAAATGAAAAAGTATGATCCCTATTTACAAACAAATTCAATTAATTCTAGTAAAAAAATTTTTGAATTAAAAAAGGAAGATTTTATATTCATAAATTCAACAGTTAATAAGAATTTTACTTTTAATGATATTTTAAATGATCATTATATAAATCATAGATATCAATTTAAAAGCATCAATGAAGCCATAAATAATTTTTCAAGTTTTATTAAAACATATAAATATAAGGAAACAGATATTTTAATTTCTAAAAATAAGTACTCTTTTAAAAAAATTAAAACATTTTATAAATTAAACAGATTTTTGACATCAGATATTTTACTTATATTAGAAAAAAATAATGATGAATTTTTTTATTTTATTATATTTTATCCATACGAATTAAAAAGAACTGTTGTAAATATAAAAGAAGATACCTTTTTTTTTAATTATGAATATGATGAATCGTTTTTAATTAATATAGAGATTTTATTTATTTATAACTTTTTAAAAAAAAAATATTCAAAAAATTTTTTTCTCAGTATTATAGATGCAACACAATTTATTAAATTTTCAAAAAATGTAGATGAAATAATGAAAAAAAATAGACTAAACGAAAATTCATTTAATAGTTACTCTGGAAATAAAGAATATTACATTTTAGAAAATATTTTGAAAACATAAACAATTACTTAATAGTTAAAATAAAGAAAAAAAAATACGCTTTATTTTTTGTATTCATTTCTTATTACTTCTATTAATAAAATTAGTTTCTCTTATAACATAAACTATCAAATAAGAAACAAAAACAAAGGATCAAAATTAATAAAAATAATTACTAATTCAAAACAAATAAATTTATGAAAAAACAAAAGAAGAAAGAAAACTATATAAAGCAAATAAAAAATTTAACAAGGACAAATTAAAATAAAGAAAAAAAAACTATCATTAAAAAAATATAATAAAATTTTTAAAATATAAATTAAAAATAAAAATTATGAATTTTTCTTTAATAAAAATAATATACTTTAATTATTGATAGAAAATTTGTTTTTTTTTAATAACTTTATAAAAACAAAAATTATAATATTTAATCACTATAAGTATACATATTTTTATTCATATCTTTATAAATACTTTTTAAATCAACATTACTTCTATAATCATCTTCATTATCGATATTACTTAATGTATCAACTTTATATTTTTTATCTAAATATTTATTTTTAATAGAAGAAGTCATAGATAAGGAATGAGATAAATTATTATTATTTTCCCCCATTTCTCTAGAATTTTCTTTTTTATCTTTTTTGTTTTGTTCTTTAATTTTATTTTTTTTACTTTTTTTTTCATGTTTATAATTATTAATTAAAATTATAAAATCATGAATAACATTTACCCATATATTTCTATCTTTATCTACAGTTTTTAAGTACAAATAGTTTTCTTTTTTTTCATTTTTTTTTCTATATTTTATATAAAAATACTTATGATTATATACATCGCTATATACATTAACCAAATATTCCAACCTTATGTAATCTATTCTATTATTATCTACCTATATGAAAAAAAAATATTTATATATATATATATATAATAAAGCATTTATAAATATGAAATGTATTAAAAAATAACAATTAATATGAATAAAATAACATAAAAATTATTATTTAATTTGCTTTTTTTAAGGTTAATAGATGTATTAAAAAAAAAAAAAAATCAATAACCAATGCATCTGCTTCATCATTGTAATAACACCAGTAGAATTTTCCTTTAAAAAAGTGTAAATAGAAATAATATTTGTAATAAAATCTTTTTATATAATAATTGCTATATAACAAATATCCATTCAAATTTCTACAGAAAAGGTGAATTTTGTCTTCTATTGCTAAATTAGATATGTTCTTATATATATCTGTTTAAAAAAAAAGAAATAATAATAATAAGAAAATTTTATTGTTTCATAAAACTAAGGTAAATATATGTTATTTATTTATATAATAATTAAAATAATATTTTTAAATATGTATATAATTATTTTAATAATTTTATTTATTATCATTTTTATAATCCATACTTAAGCTAACATCAGTTTCTTTAATAGCCTCAAAATGTTCCTTTCCTTCATTTATAAGTTCTTCTATCTTTTTGTTATTTTTGTTTTGACTTTTCTGAACTGATATTATAGTTTCAATAAAAAGAGATGTGTATATTTGATCATCCTTTTTTATACAATTTAAATTAATGTAATGAAATGATAAGGATATTGTTGCAACTATTTGATTTTTATTCACTAAATTAAAATATATATTGTTAGGAAATAACTTTTTAATTATATCATTATATATATGAATGTCAGATGAGCCAAAAAAAGTGTTTTTTAATGTTCCTTTTTTATAAACTTCAATTCTTAATATATTGTTATTTTGTTTAACTACCATATTTTTTCTTTCCTACTCTTGCAAAAAAAAAAAAAAAAAAAAAAAAAAATTGATATTACGAAAAGACTTAGAAAAAAGTACACACATTATCTTGTATGAAATTTTAAGAAATAATAATATAAAAAAATGAAAAATTTTAATTTTATGTATTTATTTTTTTTTTTTAATATTAAATTGAAAGTACATATATTTTTTAAAGTTTTCCTCTTTTATATATTATGAAAATTTAAAAAAATGAAATAAAACAAAATACAATTTTGTAAATTATTTTATTTAGTTTTTTCTTTTTTTAATAATACTTCTACATGAATTTTATTCTGATATTCCTTATAATAATGGGTATAAGCATATCTATTCCCAATTTTCAAATGGATTATATATTTACTTTTTTCATCTTCACTAAATTTTAAATTTATGTGATGAATTTCAATTATAATACTGAATGATTCATATTTATGAATATTCAAAAGACGATAAATTTGACCTATGAAAAAAAAAAAAAAAAAAAAAAAAATACTCTTAAAATATTAAAAGGAAAAAAAGACTTAAATGATTTCATATATCATTAAATTCTATTTTTCAATAATTTAAATTGATATTGTATAATTAATAAAAAATTTATTTTTAATTTTATTTTTTTCTCAAATTGCTAATTTTTTTTTAATTTTGTTACCTATATGCTTATTTTCACTAATATGAGGTATTAAATCACGATTTTTACATATGCATAAAGTACATACTGACCCAATAAAACAACTGCATATATAGAACAAATTGTGTGAATCAATATAAATCATAATTAAATAAATATAAATTACTCTTATAATATTATCAAAATAAAATAATGTGTAAATGTTAAGTATAATAAAAACTGAAAAAAACAAAAACAATAATTTAATATAGAAACAAAAACATATTTCAAGAATAAAAAAAAAAAAAAATTAACTAAATTAAAATTTTTCTTTAATCATTTTGGGGAATTGAATAGAAAAAATTTTACTAATATATTTTTATTTTCCTCACTAAATTATTTATTATATTATTAAACATTAAATTAAATGATAAATAAAGAAAAAAGAAAATTTTTATTAAAAAAGAATTACACACCTTTTTCGTAGAAAAACAAAAAAATATACTATTTTAGATGATTCATTGTGTGTGCAAATATGTTACTATATGAAATAAAAAGACAAAATTATCAATTTTGAACAAAAAAATAAAAATTACTTTTAAAAAAATTTTTTTTATTTCAAAATGTTAATTAAATAAATTAGTTTTTAGTGAAAAAAAATAAAAAAGAAACAATACAATTTCCTAAATAATTTATTTTTCTCTGAATAAAAATTTTTTTTTTTCTTCTTTATGTAGATGTTTCATTAATTCTACGAATAATTCTTTTGAAATTCTCTCTATTTAAAAAATAAGTAAAATATAAAATACTAACGGATATATAATTTTTTAATACATACAAAAGTAATCATCTATTGTAAATATATCTATTACAGATTTAATAATTAATAAAAAAAAAAAAAGTAAGATGGTATCTTAAATCCCCGAATAAAAAAAAAAAAAAGAAAGAAAAAATACTAAACATATCTTATAAATTAATTTAAAATTTCTTTATATATATATATATATATATATATGTGCATTTATATATATATTTGATAAACTATAATGATGTTTTCATAAAATAACTTTAAAACATATATTAGCGTTTACATATTAGTTAAAGAAATTTTTTTTAAACAGTTACATAAAAATTATATCATTTAATTAAATTATTTTTTACACCTTTTTTTTTTTTTTTATAAATATTTATAAATAATTTTAAAACTAATTTTGAATATTTTAAAAATTAGCATATTTATTGATATTAAAGCTTACACTCTTTTTACAATAAATGATAAACATAGAAATGCAAATTTATTACTGAAAGCTTTAAAAAAAAAAAAATTGAAATTTATAATAAGAAAAAAAAAATGTAAAACTAAAAAAATTATAAATTTGAGATAGATCAAATCATGTAAATAGCAAAAAGATCGTTTTTAAAAAAATGCAAAATAACTCCCAGATATATTATTAGAAAATAAAAAGAAAAATAAATATATCTTTGTGACTGGACTTATACTGTTGAATAAATGAATAAATGTAAAACATAATTAGAAGAAAATATATTTCCTCTTTTTTTTTTCCTTTTTTTTTTTTTTTTTTTAACAATGATTGATTTATTTGATAAGGTAAAAACTTCAGCTATTAGTAAAAACAAACAAAATGCAAAACAGATGATGCAAACTTTAATATTCAAAAACGATATAATAATCGATAACGTAGACATAAATGAAGATACAATAATTAATGTTTTTAATGAAAAAAATAATGATTTAAAAATATATGTGGACACAGTTGATAAAATAAAACAAGAAATACAAAAAATTAATTCAAATGTTTCTGAAATATCATCTTTAAAAAATAAAATAAACATATCAATAACAGTAGAAGAAGAAAATGAATTAAGTTTACATTTAAATACTCTAATAAAAAACACTAATGAAATTATTCAGTCAATAAAAATAGATATAAGAAATTTACGAAAAAAATTCATTCTAAAAACACAAGAAAATAGAGCTATAAAAAAAGATATATATGATAATCTTATTAATATATTTAAAAAATCTTTGCATAGTTATCAACATATTCAAAATGTTTTTCATCATAGTATGAAAGACAAAATATCTAGACATATTAAAATTATTTATCCAAATTACAGTGATGAAGATGTTAATTATGTACTAAATCATGATGATGTAAATACCCAAATTTTAGTTAAATGGAAACTACAAGGACACGAAGATTTAAAGAATGCATTAACAGATGTAGAAACTAAATATAAAGATGTTAAAACATTAGAAAAAAGTGTGTATGACTTACATCAAACTATCATAGAGTTATCTGCTTTAATTGAAATGAATGATGAAGTAATAGATAACATCCATGAAAATATAAAGGATGCACAAATTTTTACAGAAAAGGCAAATGTTGATTTAATTGAAGCTAGAAATATCCAAAGAAAAACATCAAAGTGGATGTGTTATATAACTATTGGTATTGTTGTTGTTATAATTATTATATGTGTACCTATTCTAGTAAAATTTATATAAAAGTAAGATATTTATAGCTCTTACTTTTTTGTTTATTTTTACTTAAAATAAAATTTGCAAGAAAACTGTATGTTTATAGTTTTCCCTTTTTATCTATAATATGATGTAAAGTAATTTAAAAATTAAGTTCCACATTTCTTTTCTAGGTTTTTCTTTTTTGTTTTCAAAGCATAATGTCTGTGTATAATATTTTAAATTATATATATATATATATATATAAGCATATGTTTTTTTTAATAAATTTAAACATTTTTTTTTTTATACTTCAAAATACCATACTATCTTTATACGTTTATATTTTATAAAATTAAAAAAAAAATTTTAATAAAAAAATTATTTCATATACTTACACAATTTTATAAATAAATGAAGAATTTTTATTGTTTTGTATTTATATAAAAATTATATCATTAAAAGATTAATTTTCTTTTCATATTTTAGTCAATTTCATAACTTTATTTTTTTTGTTTTCGCCAAACGTTAAGTTTAGAAATTCATTTTTTATAAAGTTCTCATTTTTTTTTTTTTTTTAATGTTTACATAAAAAAAGGTTTTTTTTCTTTTAAAATTTTTATTAAAAAAATTATTTGGTTAAATTGAATTAAATTAATATATAAATCCACATATTTATTTTAATTTTTTTATGTTTTGTTTTTCTTAGTAAAATGGGAAGGAATATATATCTTTTATAAACTTTTTTCTTTCATGTATCTTTTTTTGCATATATATTAAAGTAGAATAAAATAGCAATTGAGTTATTTTATTTAATAAAAGTTTAAATAATATAACAAATAAATTGAATAAATTAATTATTTTCAAATTAGGTACATCAACGTCCACTTGTTTTATAATTTCATCAAAAAAATATTCAAAATTTTTGTTTAATTTTAAATTATCTTGAAGTGTGCAAAACAAAGGAATCATATTTTTCTTAATCGATAGTTTAAAAAAAACTTTATATGTATACAAAATTTTTTTCACTGAATATAGATCATTAATATAATTTTTTAAAATATAAATTTTAATATTTGTTTGTATCAATCTTTTGATGGTATGGAGACTTTTTATGTAAAAATTTTTATTAAAAGTATTAAAAAGTAATATAGCATATGTATTTAATAATGGAACAGTAAATTCCTTATTATCATATTCTTTCCATCGACTCTGATAATATTCATCATGATTTAAATGTTGATCAATAATAACATATAATTCCTTCTCGTAAATCTTAAAATACTTTTTATATATATTTGAAATTATTTCTTCATTCCATATATATATTTTTTTGAATAAATTTAAGTTGCACACTGCATTATTTAATAATTCAATTTTTAATTTATTGATGAAGAATTTATGAATTTTTTTCGGAATATATGTATTTGTATTTATTCCTAAAATATAAAAAAACACATAATAATAAAAAAAATTTTTATGAAAGCAATGAACACTTTCATTGAAAAATAAAGGAGGATTTATTCTTTGTTGCTTATTTATAATTTCATTTAATTTTCTTACAATAATTTTTTTATCCCTTTTAATTATTTCTTTATAAAAAGTATTGATAATACTTTTTTTTTTATTTGCATAAACAATATCTTCGAATAAATTTTCCTTTTTATATTTATTTATTTTATCTAAAATGTTTAAACTTAACTTTGTCTTTCTTCTAAAATTGTTTGAAATTATGTTTAATAATCTCATGTTCCCATTTTTCTCATATGTTGCATGTATTTTCATGCATTTTATTTTAATTATAATAATTAATATAAAATAAAAAATATATATATTAGCATAACTTAAACTCATTTTTAAAATTTTAGATTCTTACCATTTTTCCAAACTTTTAAAAAAAGTAAAAATTAAATTATTTTATTTATAAATTTTTACACCCTTTGTGAATTTTTCTATACAATTGTTTCATGATAATTACTTCCATATTACAATATCTTAAATACTACATGGTTTTAAACTTAATAAGTTAATATATATATACATATATGTAAGTATATATATATATATGTATGTATGTATGTATATACGTATATATATATATATGTATGTATGTATCCTCACAAATTAATGTTTTCAATATTTAAATTGAAATTGAATACTATTATATTTTATTTTTTCGCACAACATAATTTTGTATTTTATTAATATCATTCTAAAGATTTTCTTCAACTTCTAATATTTTAAAAAAATTATATATAAATTAACAATATTTTATTATATTTTTTTTTGAAATTTTTATGGCGAGAATAAAAATATTTCAATGTGCTAAACAAACTTAAAGATACATTCTTTTTCTTTTTTTTTTTTTTTTTTTTTTTTTTTATTTTTTTTTTTTTTTTTTTTTTTTTTTTTTTAATTTTTTTATTTATAACTTTATATTATTTTAATATTTTTTTTTTTTTTTTTTTTTATGGAATAAGAACTAATTTACTTAACATTAACTGCAGTTTTTTCATTTTTAAATGTATTAAAATCCAAAAAAAATTAACATATACTTTTAATTTTAAAAATTCACATATATAAATATTAGAAACTATTTAATAGTATGATTATATAAACATACTTGTTTTAATTTTTTAGACCGTGAAATTCTGTATAAAAATTAAGAAAATACATATTACACTAATGTAAAAAAAAAAAATAAAAAAAAAAATTTTTTCATATGTTACATTTCAGTTTTTAATAAATGCTCCTCTTTTTTTACCCCTTTTTTTTTTTTCACCTAAGGAACAAATAATTATGGAAAAAGTCTATTTTAATTTGATTGTACTATTAGAAAAGTTTCCAAATAAAACTTTTGATGAATTTAGCAATGATAAATGTATATCATATAGTTTTTGAATTTTATTTTTCCTTTTGATTTTTTTTTTTTTTTTTTTGTTTTTATCAAATGGCTTAATTATAATTTATTCTTTTCTCATTCATTTGTTTACTTTTATTTTTAACATTTTTCTTTATATACACATACATATGTATATTTATACAAGATAAATATATACAGTGCAAATTTTAGTTATATGTAAATTTTTTTTATTTCAATAAAAATGTATTTTTTAAATTCCACTGAAATAAATAACTCAATCCAAAACATAAGTCCAAAATGTGAAAAAAATGAATTTTTTATAGAAAGTGATCCTTCATCTGAAGAAATAAGCGATTTTAGTAGCTGCTCAAATTGTAATGATATAAAAACAAAAAAATTAAAACATTTAGAACAAATAATATTTTTAATTGAATATGAAGAAAATATGTTTTCGTCCCCTAACAGTAAGTCTGAAATACATACTACAAATTGGTTTATAATATTTCAAAGCATAATTGAGGAATTAAAATTTAAACTATTTAAGAATGAAAATATAAAGATATGTATAATATTATATAAAAGCCATAAAGTGGATAAGAACTTTGTTTTTTATAAACTATGTTTTCTTTTTGATCTGCAATATTTAAGTGTTAATTTAATCAAAGATTTAATAGATATATCAAAATTACAAAGTATTAATATGTTTGATATAGAAGAAAAAATTAAAAATAAAAAATTTCAAAGTATATTATGTTCTTTTGAAGATGTATTATTATTATTAAATAGAATAATAATTTATAATTCAACTGATAAAAACGTAATTTATGTAAATAAAATTATTTATTATACACAAACAGTTATGCCTCAACATTTAAACATAAATATATTAAAAAGAAGGTTAGAATCAATTGAAAAAATAGGTGAATTTTTTTATATATGCTTAAAGAAAGAAAAAAAAAAGAATATAAAAATTTTAGAAGAAGTTATTGCAGAAAGTGTGTTCAAAAATTATATAAAGAAAAAAATAATATTATATAAATTAAAAAATTGCCTAATGAAAATAATGTCTCTTTCGAAAAATTACACCTCAAATATTTTGAGTATAGTAAACGGGTTAAATGTTCACATAAATATTTACCTTTTATCTAGTAAAGAAAAACAAATAAAAAATATAGTAACTATTGATAAGGAAAACTCTCAGTTAATCCCCAAAACATTTTATATAGGTAATTGTTCATCTGAATTTGAAAAAAATGAGAATTTAAAATATATTAATATAGGAGATTTAAAAGAAATTATAAATGATGATGAAAAAAAAGCACTATCATATAATAACACAGATTTTATTAAAATAACTCACTTTTTAAACTATGAATTTTTACAAATAGAAAATAATATAAGCTCTAATTATTTTATTTTTCCTCAAAGTAATTATTATCATAATAAATATAAATTAAAAAAGAATAAAAATTTAACAGAAGAAAATTATTTTAAACAAAAAGATAAAAGAAATGTAGAAATATTTAATTGCTTATTATCCTCTCTCATAAAAAAGAAAAAAATTGCAATAGGTATGTTTTTTCGTCACTCTTCTCCTTTAAGGATTCTTTTAATACCTTATATTCCACCATCTGTAAATAAAAAAAAGAAAATGCCTGCTGGTTTTTTATTAAAACAATACCCATTTTTTAATGATATAAAATATAGAGATTGCAATTATATGAAAAATATATTAAGCTTTAATTATTACTTTAAAAATAATGTATCAAACTTTACAAACAAGTTTGTTAACTCAAATAAATACTTGAGTGATAGCTCCAAAAAAAGCAATACAAAAAATATTTCTCTTAAAAAAAACATGGCAAAAAGAGATAAATTATGTATTGATTTAATAACGAATATATTAAAATACATAGAATCAGACGATTTTAATCCTTACTTGATTCAAAATATTTATATGAACAAAATTAAAATGGCCATTGAGAATATAATTTTTAATGAAAAAAAAAATTACTCATCTAAATTAAAATTCTTTTATAATTCAGAATATTTTAGATTAAAAGAGTTTTATTTAAAAATTACTTCTAATTTAGAAAGAAATCTGATTTCAAAAGATAGAGAATTTGAACAAGCAGCATCAAAAATTAATGAAATAAGAAATGATATATTTAATGGTTCTATAAATAAATATAAGACTAGAGACTTACTTCTTTATCTAGAGTATTACAATTTACCAAAATATGGAAAAAAAAATGATATTATTGAAAGAATAAAAAATCATGTGTATGTTCCTTAATTATATAGAAACTTTTTCCGTCTTATTATTCTTTTGTTCATAACTATTATACTTTAAAAATTAAGAAAAATATAATTATGTTTCTATCTTTTTCTTCTTCTATATGCAAACAATCATATTTTTGCTTCGTATGGTTTTTTATTATAAATAAATGCCTATTCAAGTGCAGGAATAAATATTTCATTCTTTTGTTTTTTATATATATGAAGTGATAATTATTAAAAAAAAAAAATTATATTATTTATATATATTTTCTTCAGCTATAGAGAATCTAGCAACAAAAACATGTATATATATATATATATATATAAAAAAAAAAAAGCATATGCATATAATATAAAATATGCTAATAATTTTATCAAATATTCTTAAAGTTTTTCTTTTAAATATTTTTTTAAACATTGTATTGTTTTTGTTTTTAATTAGTAATCCATATTTTAAATATTGAGAATAATAAATAAAATGTGTGTCAAAAATACTAAAAGGTATTATATTTTATTTATTTTTTTTTTTTTAATTCTTCATTTAACATTCAAACATCTTTCAAAATTTTATAATTTTTAAAGAAAAAACTTTTTAACTACAATATACAATTATTGTATTTCCCTTTTTATCAAAATAAGAATATTGTAAACGTATTTATGCATCGTTTATTTTTATTCGAATTTTTGAAAGGGCAACATTTAAACTTAAAATAAAAGTTATAATTTCAATTTTTTAAATAATATTCTTATAACAAAATTTCCTTAATTTTCTCTAAATATATATATATTTATATATATTTATTTATTTGAAACACAATAAAATGAATATTAAAAATAACGAAAGAAATTCATTTTTAGTTCATCAGTATTTTAAGAAAATGCCAATGATACAAGGATACAGTCTTTAAAATTTTAATTTCTTTGTTTTTTTTATTATATATATATATATATTATATTTCATTTTTATTTTATTTATTTTTTTTTTTTTTGTTTTTTTTTCGTTTTTTTTTTTTTTTTTTTTTTTTTTTTTTTTTTTTTTTTTATTTTTATATATATTTCACAAAAAATAAAAATTGCAAACAGTACATTTTTCATAATATAAAAATAATTAATTAAAATAATCCTTTATTTATATAAATTTTTTCTATTCTTTCTTTATTTTTATAATGCTCTAATTAATCTGCTTTTCTCATATTGGCATTGTTTAAAGATTCAGGAAGATTCACTTCAGTATCTTTTTGTTCCTTCAAGGGAGATGGTATTTTATTTAAAGAAGTAACAATTTTAATTTTAGACAAAAAATATTTATTTAGTGGTTTAAATTTTGACGCATTCGAATTTTTTCTACTACTTGTGTTAGTAATTTTTTTTGTTCCTTTTCTAATTACTTTATTTTTATTTACTGGAATGGTTTTAGGACGCTTATTACTTAAAGTAAATGTTCTATTTTTACGATATAGAGATATATTTAAATTATTAAATTTTTTGGTAGGAACTTGAACTGTTTTATAACTATTTAACCTTTTACTAATTACAGTTCTAGCAGGTTGAGATTTTTTAAATATTTTTCTTGTTTTATTTTTTGTCAAATTCCCCCTATATATATTATTAGATATTTTATTCCTATTATTCACAAATTTTTTATTGTATGGATTTTTATAATTATCAAAAGCATGAGAACTGTAATTATTATTTCTACTTTTAAAATAATCTCTTCCCCCATAAAAACTTCTACTTTTATATTTATTATATTTCTTGTTACTTAATCTATTATTAAAAAAATATTTCTTGTAACTCCCTGCTTTTCTATTTACATATCTCGATTTCCTTGCTCTGTAATTTGAACCCTGTAATGAATCTTTTTTTTTAATATAATTTGTATTAAATTCATTTTTTTTTGTATTATTAGGTTTTAAAAAACTATTTTTTCCACTTTTTTTTTCGCGATCAACTACATCATCTAAAGGGCATGACAAATAGTCAATTATTTTTTCATTTTTTTCACTTTTCATTTTAAAAGATATATTTATAAGTTTTATTATATAAAAAGAAATAAAAAAGTAAAGATATTCAGCTAAAAATATAAAGTAAAAAAGAAAAATGAAATGGAAAAAAAAAGGAATGTATGGCAAAAAGAAATATAAAAAATGAAAAAAATAAAACAATACAAAATTATATAAAATAAAAAAAATTAAAAAAAAAAAAAAAAAAAAATAGAAATAAAACAAGTAAAAAAAAAAGATAAACAAACTTAAATTTAGTAAAATCGTAGATAAAAAAAATCCTCTTGAATACCATATAAAGCAAAATATATTTTAATTTTATTTATTTTGTTTTTTCATCTTTATAAATGTTTCATTCATAAAAACTCCCAAATTTCATTATATTTTCAAAAAATTTTTTTTTTTTTTTTTTTTTTGCTATTTTTTTGTATATTTTTTATATTACATATGCTCAACTGCTAAATAAAAAAGAAGATTCTTAGTTTTAATTTCTGTGAAATTTTGAAATATTGTTCATAACTTTGAAATAAAATAAGGTTTTTAAAAAAAATATATATTTAACATAATTTTTTTTTTTTTATATTAATATTATATATTATTTTACAAAATATAAGTTTAAGATTTAATTCTATTTTTTGTTAATTTTAAAAATTATATATATAGTACATTATCTTTTTTTCCTTTTTGTTAAAAAATTAAATTTCTTCGAAGATATTAAAAAAAAAACTTATACTTTAACATAAAATATGAAATTTTTGATTTAACATAATCTTCTTAAAAATATAAACAATATTTTAAGTTTTTCTGAAAAGCATATAAATAAATATATTATTCACTATAATAAAAAGTAAAAATAAATATATTTTTTTCCATAGAATTTTAGTGAAGTCAGATAAAGCCTTTAAGTCGAACGACCTAAATACAACTAAAAAAAAGGAGCATTAACCAAAATGAAAAACTGGTTATTTTAATTTTTTTTTTAAGGCCCAAAATTGAAGATGATCCCATTAAGTTCATACACATTTTTATTCAATAAATCTCAAAATTTTCAATTTTTATAAATATAATTATAAAAAGTATTTTCTTTTTGAATACTATTTAAAGATATATTTTGTATCCATCTTATTTTTTTCTATAGTGTTGGAAGTAGTATGTATAAGTTTTACACTGTAATAATTTTATTACAAAATAGTTTATTAAGCATTAGCATGTTAATATTATAAACTAATAATACTTCCAAATAAATAAAAGAAAAAATAATTATATTTTTTTTACTTTAATATATCAAATTTCAACCAATTAATAATCTTTGTTGATTACATATAAAAAATAGAGTTTTTTAAAATTATTATTCCTGTGATAATATTTTAAATAATTTTTATTTTTAACATTTCCTAATTTTATTGTACATCAGAAAATTATCAGAAAGTTTTTGTATCATTTATATAATTCCATAAATAATAAGTTATACTATTTCATTTATATTTTTAACTTTTTGTTTTTTTTTTGTAACAGAAAAAAAATATCAAACAAAAATAAAGTTAGAAATATTTTTTATAGTATACTATCACATTTGTTATGTTCATTTAAAAAAAAATGAGTTTTTAAATTATAAAAATTAATTGTATGAATATAGTCCTTTATAGTTTGTTTTGTTTAATATATATCCTTCAATTTTATTTCAAATATACAAATAAAATTTTAATGTTTGTTTAGTGTAGTAAACAAAATACTTTTATATTTCTTTTTTAACATAACAAAATTTGCGAAATAATCAATTAATATTTTTCAAAAATAGTATATTTGTTTTATAATTAAATAATAAAAAAAAAGAATATATTCATGAAATACATAGCTCTTTAATGCAGAATAAATAGAAGTTTTGTATTTTATATGTCTTACTTAGCTATATTCAAATTTAATTTCTAATCTGATAAGTATTAACACTTATTAAATGCATAGCGTTTTAGTGATGTATTAAAAAAATTTTAAAATAAAAATTATAAAATATTTTCGACTAAAATTTATAGGATTTTTTACTACGTTAATTTTGACACCTTAATTTAAACATGCGCTACCGTTTAACAATATTTTAAAAAAATATTTTAATTCTATATAATTTAAAAATTATATAAAAGACCTTCTTTTTTATTTATTAATATATACAAATAAAAAATTAGTTAAAATTTTATATAATACATTAACATATTAGTTATATTAAAAAAATAATTCTATAGATAAGAAGTAGCATTATATATAGAAATGATATATTGATGTATGTTTTAAAAAGTTACTTTTTTTAAATATAATTACTTTGTTTAAATTATATTATTTTTTATTAGATTATAAGTAATAAATACATTTATTTTCATTACTTAAAATTTTTTTTTATGTTCCAATTCTCTTAAATATAATGTACATTTTATTTTTATTTTTTCTTTTATAAACCCAAAATTGATTTAAATAAAAAAAAATAATATTGTATACTCTATAATATATTAAAAAATGGAATTTTTTTGTCTACGTAACATTCTATCTTAATATGTTTAATTACTTTCTTTTCAAGAATTATATATATGACATTAAAATAAAATATGTTGAGCTAGTTAATTCTCTTTTATGACTTTAGTTAAGCATAATGAATTGTATATTTTACTATATATCATGTTTATTTTGAAAATTGTATTTTTTATTTAAAAAGGAAAAAAAAATATTTTGTATTTTTATTTGCAAAATTAACTTTAAAATAAATTAGAAAGTCAAGTAATAAACTTAATTTAAGGGAAATTTTCATAGAACTAAATCTGTAATGTTATCACCTCTTCTATTTCATTAGAAAATTTGGATATTGTACAAAACTATTTTAAATTGTATATATTTTTTCTTAAACATATACAATAAATTAAAAGTATATAATTCATCTTTATCTTTATTTTCTACTTTGTGCATTATATTTTTCCTTTATTCCTTTTGAATCTTCTTATTAATCTAATTTATTATAAATTTAACCATTCTTCCAACATAATAAAAAGATAATAATTTGAATCCTTTTATGAATTAAGTGCGATTCCTAGTAATTTTTTTTTTTTGCTATATATACTCCAAAAAATTTAATTAAAAGTTCTAGACATGAAAGTAATTTTTTGTTAGTAAATTATATTTTTTATTATAAATCATAAAATATAAGGAATTAGACAAAAAAACGATTAAACTATTTAAAAACTTATTCTAAGGGAGAATTTATTAATATTACTATTTTTTAGTATAAGGACGATTTAAAAAAAACAAAAATTCATACAGAAGAATTACATATAATAAATTTACTTAATTCAAAAGTACAATATAAAAAACAAATGATGCTTAAGTTAAAAGATTGTTACTAATAATATAAGACCATGTAATTCCAAATTTATTATATTGAAAAATATAAATAATTTTATCAAAAAAGTTCATGAAAAAAATTTACAAGAACAAAAAGAATGTTTTCACACAAAGATTAATATAGGGAAAGTAAAAATTTACATAAAAATTTTATCAAAAAAATAAAAATATGAATGACTAGGATAAATACAAGTTTATTAATTATATATAAGAATAATTTTAAAATATATATAGAACATTCTAATTATAAACAAAATATACTCATTTTTTTCTTAAAACTAATAATATTACTAATACATATTACCTATATATAGTACAGATGAAGATAATGTTTTGTTTTTAATTTAAATAAATATTCTCTTCTTTTATAAATATGAGAAACGTATATTTATAGTCACTCATATGATGGAGATTTTCATGGAAAAACATGAATTGTGATGGATTTTAGTCTGACAAAATGGTAAAAAAACTAATCATATTTTTTAAAAAAAACTACTGATGCATTTTTAAACATTTATTGTTTTACTTTATTAATATATTTAATTATTTATGTATATTAAATACAAAATAGGTGAAATTTATGTATATGGAAATAGAATACATAAATTAAATTTTTATAACGTTCTTTATTTTATTTCATATATTATATTTTATATTTTATATTTTTAGGGTAACTCTTTTCACAAAAATTAACATTTACTAGAATCATTTCATTAATAATTTTTAATAAATAAGAAAAAAATATGAAGACTATGTTCTTTTATAACTATTTTTTGAATGTGAACTTTTATATTTATAATTTTTATCTCAATTTGTCTGATTTATACGTTCTATTTAAGAGCATTTTGCGTATTTCAAATTTATAAAAAAGTGAAATTTCATTATCATATTTAGACAAAAGGAATACACTGAAAGAGTATCTTCACTCATTTGTATTACATAGCAAAATTTTATTGATGTTAAAGAAGTGAAGGGAATTTCAAAATATATCAGTTATTTCAATTGGCATAAGAAAGAAAAAAATTCTAAATCTACTTAATAAAAAAAATAATCTCTGATTTTTTTTTTATTTTTTAAAAGTAATAATAATAAAAAAGTCTAAAACAAATTTTCTAATTATTTATGTATATTTTTACTTTAATAATATAAAAATCATTTAAATTTTTCTTAGATTTATCAGAAATTTAAAGCAAAAAAAATTTACTTTTTTGTGCTTAAGAATTTTCTAAAACTTTAACGGAAGACAAATATTATAGTAACTATATTTAAAGTAAATATGAAATACAAAATTTTAGAAAATATAGTTCCTAAATTTAAACGAAAAAAACTGTGTTGTAACATACACAAGATGGTATGATGAACAAAAATTTCTAATTATTCTTTTTGGAAATAATCTTTGAAATAAATAATATATTTATACTTTTTTCGGAATATATATTAAAAAGTTATAAAATAGAAATTATATTTTATTTTAAAGTAAAAGAAAATAATTGTTCTTTTCACTTTACTATTTTAAAGTTATGAGTAATTTTCTAGAAATTTATGATTTAAGTTGCATATTTATAAAAATTTTACATATACACATGTTTTGATTAATTATTATCAAAACATTATATTAAAATTTAGTG